CAGTGTGTGTGTGTGTGTGTGTGTGTGTGTGTGTGTTTCATGATGTAGTGTTTTCTGTGGTTTTGTTTGATCCCTTGAATTACATTTCCAAAGACACCATCTATCACCCATGACGTGTGGTTTTATGTGATCCCATGAATTACATCAAAGACATCTTCTATCACCAATGACCTGTTGGCATTCGTTCCCTCAGGTGGTGAGTACCTCTATTTCTACTCACTGCGAGATTATGAGAACCCCAAGGAGCTCGGACTTGAGAGGAGTCGGGATGGTTACTCCTTTGTGGACCTCGCCATGTGTGGACAGTACCTGTACGCTCTCCTTGCCAACTACAATGGTGAGAGTGAAAAACTGCAACTTCTCTTTAGAAAATTCTTTCATTGTTTTAGTAAAAGTTTTGAGTGGTATTTGCAACACTTTTAGATCATCTAGATGTCGAAGATTAGAAGAGGCGTTACAAGTAAGTGACAAACACAAAAAGAAGGAGAAGAAATGAGGGCGATAGATATAATTTGGCTTCCACTGAAAGTGAGAATTGAATATAAGGTATCCCTACTATGCTTCAAAGGTCAAAATAACCAGTCTCCCACATACATTCAAGAACGCATTGTACCATACACACCATCACGTGAACTAAGATCCAGTGGCTCTAGACTAATTTCAACACCTCGTGAGTCACTGAAGAAATATGGTGACAGAGCTATTTCTTTTTCTGGGCTAACAGTTTGGAACGCTCTCCCTCATGATTTGAGGACCGAAATAAAACTTGATACCTTCTTCAAAAGGGGACTCAAAACATATCTATTTAAGAAATATTTTAATTAATGGACAGTATCTTGCCTTTTTGTATGAGCATTTTTTATTGTCTGAAAGAAGAATGCTGTCAAAATATGCGCACATGATGAATTTTAAGGTGTTAGTATGAATGCGTTTTTAATCTCCTATGTACACCTTGGGCCCATGTTGTGGGGAAAGGCGGGATACAAATGCTCTTATTTTTATTATTACTATTAAAGAAGGAGCAAAACACACCAGAGCACGATTATTCTTTCATATTAATTTCACCAATAAATCAGCAGTCAGCAACTAGGAATTTAAATAAAGAAAGACAGTAGAAAAGGGTTAACAACCAAGTGTAGTTGCCATTATCTTTGCCTAGTGATGAATCATTTGGTTTTTTAAAAAGAGAAGAAAAAAACATACTATGGCTAGGGCTATGAGTTCACATACTAGGATGCAGTATGGCTTTGGAGATTCTCCTTGACTTTCACGTGGATGGAATTACAGTACTTGTTGGTTCGTTTTATTTTGCTTTAGAGGAAAAGGTGATGGAGAGGGGAATTCATAGCCACCACCCCCCGAACCTAAATCTCGCATACGTTGTTCACCATCACATCTCTAAATCTGTCGTTCCTTTTTTGTTGCTTCGGTCTACTACCTTAACACTGACTGATGAACGTTTATGGCAGGTCAAACAATAAAGCAGCAGCGAACGGGATTAACGATCGTCCATGCTACGACACACCTTTCTTTTATTTCCCACTGCTTGGCTACCTTTTCTTGTCTGGGGAGTTGTTAGCTACAACTGCAACATTAGTTTCTGCTCTACTCCCAGTAACGAATAAAAGTATTCAAATGGGGTCTAAAAGTAATGGCCTAAAACCCTCGATCAACTGGCAGTCCAACTTCAGCTCGAAGTGAGGCTGTTGTCTGTTTGTTGGCTAAGATAATACAACAACAACAAAAAAAAACCACCAATCACTCCTCTCCTCATAAGGTTTGACTTGGGTTTGTCAAGCTGGAGGGATTCAGAAGGAAAAGTGTCTGTTAAACAAAATATCCACAGTGTTCATCTATTTTTCCAAGCAGGTTTTATCTTTATTTCCGAGTCGCGAAACTAAATAAAATATTAACCATGTCGACAAAATCACAGACTGCATTGCGTGGATTTTCATTTCCCCTGACATTTCTGCCAGCAGTGTGCGTGGTGTGGTGTAGTTCTCTGATAACTTTACCCCACACTTGTGTCGCTGATTATGCCGTTGAAATGACGCAACTCTCCACCGTCTACCTGCCAACAAGGTACAACGAGAGCGGTGAAAAGGTGTTTGAGCTCAATAATTCCTCAACTCCGCTAAAACTTGCCTTTGATGATTGGAACCACGTCTTCTATGTAGCAGGTAAAATAATAATAATAATAA